GACCAAGACTGGAAGTAGGTTCGCTAATCTAAGGGTTAAGGCTTTGACCAAGATCTTATAGCCCACGTTGAGTACCGAAATAGGGCGATAATTATTATTATTATTATTATTATTTTTATTTTTTTTTGGAGAAAAAACAGTCCCTCCAGTGCTAGCAATGTTGGTAAGAGCAGACACCGCTAGCACCTGGGGATAGGCTCCATCTATTGGTGGGGAGCATCACCTGTTGGAAAACGGGTCCAGCGTCCCTTGCGATTGCAATAGAAAACACAGGTCATCTCAGAAAGTCTGTAAGCTGAACCTGCCAGCACTGATTACCCTGGAGGCCAGGGGATTGACTGAGCAGGGGGGGGGCCTCTTCACCCTGATGTTTGGCGCCATATTTCCTCTGTCACTGTTGGCTCCCTCCTCTAACCATGTTGATCGGTGATGCCACAAGGCTGGAAACCGAGTCTAGCATCCCTGTCTCTTTCTGCCACACCGTAAGGGGCCAAGCGGAGGTCCACTGGGGGGCACTAGTGAGTACTTCCGCCGTCCCCCAACACTTACCTGTCCCATTACTGAAACTGACTGTCCCGTTCTGACGAAAGGCCAAGGTTATGTTGCGCGGGGCCAAGGTTTGACTACCCAACCCATTCTTCAATTGCTTGGTGGTGGGGCGGGAATGGGTCTGCAAAGTCTTCTGCCGGGCACAGAGGAACATCCGGACTAATCGTGGTCCAGTCTTTGAATACCAGATGGTAGTCCCGGAGAGGCCTTATGCTGGCCGCATCGTTCTCGGGCTGAATCCGTGTGTCCCAAGGTCCGGACCAAACCACCTCTGCTACCCATCCCTCCCCCAACCATTCTTGGCCAAACTTTGTAATCACCGATGCAACTTGAATGTCTTTTGGTTGATGTAATGAGTCTAATGTTTGTTTTGTTACTGCCCATAGTCGAGAAAGTTCTCGTTGGAACTGCTGTTTGAGGTATTCATTTTTCTCCTTCCCATCCACCATCGCCTTGTCCATGGCAAGGGCACATCGTTGCCACCAAATGACCCATAAAATCACTCGTCGTCCCAGGTGGAACATGTTCTATGCGAAGGTATGATTTTGGAGGTCCGGGCGATGGCCCAGCAGAATCGCTCGCCACTCCCAAGGCCATGCGTGTCCCGGGACCATGTGTCGCCATATCCTCTCACACCATCTCCATGTTGCTACCGCTACCGGGCATTGGAGAAAAATGTGCTTTATTGTTTCTTATTTTTTCCTTGACGGGAAGGTTAGAAGACACCGAGAGCACCAAGGCAGTGCGCGCCCTTGCTGTTCCAGGTGGGTGTGGTCGATCAGCCAACTGTTAGCAGGGAGACAACGGTGTATAATTTGCCATTGTAAAGATGTGATCTTGTCCGGGCCGCATTTACAGTCCTTAAACCATCTGATGGGCGCCAATAATTGTCTGTCTATATTCAAGTGTCGCTGCCAGCGATCACGGACTATCTCCTTCACAACTTTTTTAACTCTAAGCTTTCGGTAGGAAGCTTTGACTGTCATGTTCCAGAGGGGTACGGGCTTTAAATCGTGTGCCCTAGGGTGAGCTGGCGGGTTCCACACCCACTCTACCGGGTCCAGGGGAAACTCACTCAACGAGGTCCCGGGCCTGAAAGCTTTTTGCCCCTCCCCCTCACCGTATACTCTCACTCGGTGGAGTTGGGTCTTAGAAACCCATATAAAGGGGTATGTACTGTCGGCCAGTCGCCCATCCTTTCCTACCCGATACTCTTCAACCAGGGCATCGTCTGCACGCACCCGGTGAACTAGCCCTATGCGTTTGGCCCAATCATTGGTATTGACCCAGTCCCCCTCTTGYAGTTGTGGACCCTTGCGCARAATGTGGAGCCAGGCCAGAGGGAAGGCCTCAGTAAGTTCCTCTACTGCTGCTTCAGAGTTATGGCAGTAGCGGAGGAGTCCCTTCATTTGTTCCGGTGTTTTCCAGTCATTTCTGAGGTCGTCCCACAGATCCTTTACTCTGGAAATCCCATTCTTGACCCACCCCTTCCATGGTGAGTCCGAACCGCAAAAACTCTGGCTGTGTGTGTTTGTAATCCATCGGTTCCCAAACAGGGGCTGTCTTGCCACTTCCTCCCACCGGTCCGGAGGCGGGCGATCTGGGGGGGGGAGTTTCCTCCAGGTTTTTATTAGGCGTGGCCACAGATCATCGCTCAGGCCCCTCGGGACCTTCCAATACCTGTCGTCTAACCATCTCAGTGGATCTACCTCTGGGGGAGATTTTGGGGCCATATGTGCTATTTGTCTTATAGCCAGTGGGGTCCACTGTTGGGATGCCTCGAAGATCAGCCGCACCAACCACATCAGGCTCAAAGCCTGTGTCTGAGTGGGGGGGTCTATGATGCCTACCCCCCCTTGTGCTTTGGGCTGAACCACTGTGTCCCATGCCACTCGACTTATGGCGTTAGTAGTCTGGCTGTCCCCTCTCCATAGTTATGCTGCCACCTTTCGTCTAAGGGCTCTGTGGGCCACCTCGCTGGCTGGCTCTTGACCTCCCTTTTATCCCCTTTTTTGTATAGAAGGGATATTACTCCTCTGACAAAGCCCTTCGGAAGACGACCCGTAATTAAGATTCTGTTGTAAACCCGAAGAAGGAATGGGGCAAAGGTCTCCCATGAGCTGAGGAATAGTTCCACCGGGAGGCCGTCAAGACCTGGGCATTAACCCAGGGCCATCTTCTTGATCGCTTTTGTGAGCTCCTGTTCCGTCAAAAGGGCGTCCAGACAAGCAAGGTCTGCGGGCTGAATCTGGACCCTCGAGTGATCCCAAAAGTCTGAGTCCAATGACAAATCTGAATCAAATTGATCATAAGGTCTTCGTGTGGACACACTGTCCCTGAAATATTCCAGGGCATAGTGGCACATCGTTTCTGTATCAGAAGCCAATGGAGTCGTTAAAGAGAAGGGGTGTTGGAGTTCCCTCAACGGTGTTTTGGTCTGCCGTAGGATCAGAGAGCGAAATGTGGGTTTGGTCATTCTGTCATACACCGTGATTCCACGCAGTTTCAACCATTCAGCCCAATTTTTCTGTTTCTGTTGTTCCATACTCTCCAACTGAGCTAGGGCATCTTTTCTTTTCTGTGCCAGTAGTAGTCAGAAAATATATCCTTACCCAGATTTAAATCCGCTTGGGCTATAAGATCCTTGAGTTGGGTTTCTTCCCAGTTCCTTCGGGCGGCCGTCATTCTAGAAAATTCTACCAGAGCCGCCCTAATTATTTGGATACCTACGTCTGCCCAATCATCTTCATTTGCGAATAAATTTTTCGCTAATGGCCAGGCCCGCATCTGGTCTGATACCCATTGTGGAATTCCGATGTCCTTCAGGTTATTTGTATTTAGCCTAAAGGGAGCTCTTTCCATTACGATCTTTTCATTAGATAAAACTTTTTTTCAATATATATAGGATAATGATCAGACATGGAAGAGGTGCGAATCTCAGCTGCTATGCATCTCTCCCACAGTACGCCCCTAGCCAGTATGTAATCCAATCTTCTGCTGGGGGCTGGGGAGTGTTCACCTGGGCACGGCCCATACCAGGTATGGCCATTGAGTTCGGGATTCAAGGTTCTGTAGGTGTCCACGAAATCATATGATTCCATAAATGTTTTCAAGAGGCAGGCATCCTCCCTTAAAGGCAAGAGTTTGGGTGAGTCCAGCCCCGGACACAATATAATATTCCAGTCCCCTGCCATTACCATATTTTTTGTGTCGGGGATGGACGCAGGTAAGTTGGCGACAAAGGAAGTCTTGTCAATGTAGTTCGTAGGCGCATAGATTGAAACAATCGTCCAGTCCGTCAACCGCAATTTTCATAGATACGAATCAGCCTGTTCTTGAGGTCCGCTGGGAGGGAAGAGGAATCATTTTCAAATAAAATTGATATAGCATGTTCCCCAAGCCATACCGCCTGTAGTCGGACAAGGTCCGGATCTACAACCACCTTGACAAAATCCTCACCCGTTGTAACCGTGCTTGGGGCAAGCCGATAAGGCAGGATACCGCATGCAAAGCAAGCGCTGAGCAGGTCATGTACCCTTGCCTTATCTGCATCAGTAGGCGGGGAGGAGATCAAGGGAGGTGGGGAGGCCTGCTCCTGGAGAAGCCATGATACAATCAGTCGACCAGCCTAAATCTAAGGCACAACAAGTGCACGATAAAGACCTAAGAATAGTGAAAAACGAAATAGAAGCTTCCACTAGTAGCCGCAAAGTCAACATGTAGCTAAAGTATACGAGAAGAGAAAATTATACCTCCTATGCCTAAAACGTCGGAGGGCTCGCAGCATCTCTTCCTTCCATAGCTCACAGATTTGAAGACGAGAGAAGAGGGCAAAGAAAGCTTGGAAGCGTCCCCACTACCTGCATGGTCAACCCAACTGACCAAGCATGGACTCGAGGTCATGTGTCCCTTTGGGCGACCCGCCCTTTGTCCTGGCCAGAGGACTAAGGATATCCACGAAGTTACCGAGAGAGACGAGCCACCCACAGAGGCGGCGCTGACGGACGGACCCGTGCCAGCCGGCACGGGCCTCTTCTAGCCTCCGCTCCAGCTTCCGCAGCTACAGTAGCGCTAACGCTTAGCCCTCGACAATGCACTTTCTTGGTGTGGCAACTAAATGTTATCAGCCCGATGGGCGTTTATATACCACGATTGGAGCTGCGGGTCTTGTCTGGCCCTCCCTATATGGTCGTAGTGCTTTGCGCTTCTTCGTCCTGTGGCATCGTGGATCTTCGGCTGCTCCCTCCCTTATCCAGTTCTCCTCACGTGCGGGCAGCGCAAGGGGCCCTTAGGAAATTTGCTGCCTGAGAGGCGGGAGTTGCTGCGGGATAGGTCGTATCGTATCGCGTCCCAGGCCCCACTTTTTTTTTTGATAAAGCGCGGTTCTTTCGACATTAGGAGATGCGGGTTCTGAGAGGTGCCGTGTACGCGGGTGGCGGCTCGGCGGCTCGGCTGCTCGGCGGCCCATTTTAATCGCGGGGCGATGCAGAAGTTGCTTTCTTTGTTCCCAGCCCCCGTTGGGGTTGCCGTCCTTGCGGGGCGGTGAATGCATAGACGCCGACGACCTTTTCGCGCCGTGGTGGGTTGAATTGGTCGTGCCATCCTCTTCTGGAGGTGCGGGGTCTGGGAAGGTGAACCAGCTATGGCGCCGGGGGTGGTGGGTACGTCGGAAGCGACGATGACAACGACATGGCCGTCGAAGAAAGTGAGGGAGACGTTCTTGAATTTCTTCGTGTCTAAGGGCCACGATGTTGTGCAGTCCAGCCCGGTTGTCCCTGTCGACGATCCCACGCTACTCTTCGCGAACGCAGGTATGGCAGAGAACCTCCTCCGTCTCGCTCCTTCATCTCTCACCTGGACGGTGCTATTGTTTTCCCCCGAGTACAACGCATGGTCATTATAGCATACTTTGGCAGCTTTCAGTCTAGAACAGCAACCTTGATCTCCATTCAGGATCCCAATTGTGACACCTTTTTGGAAGACTTAATTCGGATAGTCGGATTTGCATTTTTTTTCTCGATCGGTGTGGGGTTTTTGGGAGGCCGGGCCGTTCCACGGCGTCCCGGGCTTAATTCGAACGGATGTAAGGCTTTCACCGTTGGAGATAATCTACGGCTCGTTCCAGGGCGATCCTTGTAAAGATTGTTTCTCTACCGCTTGTTGTGAAAACTAACCCTCTCGACATGGAATTAAGCGGAAGTCGTGTTGCGATGGGGTAGCGTAAAAATCGTGGAAAGTTTTGAGGTCCAAAACATGATGCGTTATGCCTTAGTAATGTTGTCTATCAGGGGTACTGTGTGTGCAATCAATCTTGGCCAATTCCGTTCCTCTTTTTTAGGGTTCTAATGGAGCGGGGTAAGAGGTGTGGTTGTCGTTGATCGAAGGTTGAGCAGGCCGCCAACGGAAAGGGATCTCATGGAGCAGCGCAAGCAGGGTGGCAGCGCAAGCCGGGTGGTTGTTATCGGTCGAAGGTTGAGCATACGGGCTACAACGAAAATGGCGCTCTGATTGTGACAGACCCGCAAGAAATCTCTGGCACACTGACTGACATGTCCGTCGCTTTCGATTCTGCTTTGCATTTGAGGTCTTGTGTCGAGAGGTGTGCTGCAAGGCGCTGGTGGCAACACCGACGTTTCTTTCGGGGACATCCTTTTTTTTTTTTTCTGTTTTGATGTCGTTTAAGAACCAAAGCCGCTTTTTCCACTGATCAATTACTAGTATTTCTTATGTTCCTCTTCGAAGTGAAGGAAACCAGCGATGCTTGTGTTCCTCTCCGAAAGTGGAGGAAGCCAGCGATGTCGGCTGGTGATAAGCAAACAGGGTTTTCAGTCTTGCAAGCTCCCGTGTTTCCCCGAATAGATCGACGTACGGTCATTGATAGGAAGTTATAGCTGCATTTGGCGCAACTTTAAGTCCACATACAACCGTAATGATGACCGTACGTTCTTTTTGGGGGAACGACGTTCGTTGTCTGTGTGGCACCGGTCCGTCGTTTGTCATTTCTTCATAGAAATTCGGCGTTTTGTCTATAGCGATTAGGGTGTGTAAAAAAAGCGATTATGGATTTGACAAGAGTTTTTTCTTCTTTCGTAGACGCACATGAGGGTCGATGGATGATCGTGCTCGTGATGATAATGTAGGTGTGCATGTTGTTAGCCGATTCCCTTAGGTAGAGAGGGTGCTGTATTGCTCTCTGTCTTGGGGTCCTGCCAGACAATTGGTTTCTGCGTGATACGGTTTAGGCGGATCTCTTACGTATCTCCGCGTGTCCCGTTTCTGGACGTCCTCTAATTAGGTTGAATGGACATCCTCTGAGAAATCTGGATGTCTTTAAGTCATAGACCTTTAGTGATTGCTTGCTTGTCTGTCCCTTCGCCGTCCTCTTATTAGTTGAAGGGGGAAACGACGGGTCGCTCTCGTGTCGCCTCGTCTCCCGTTTCTGGAGGTTGAATGAACCTGGGGGGGGGTTATGATTGTTGCTGTTCTTCCGTTCGCCTTGTCCTTAAATTACGTGAAGGGGAGAACGAAGACCAGGTGAGGGATCAGGGAAGTAGGGATGAGAGAGCAGAGCTGAGGAAGTGGCAAAAGAACGAAGGGATTCGCATTTGAGGCGATGGATGGAAAGGAAGAGGGAAGGCTTCAGAAGAGACGGAGGAGAGACGATCGATTTGCGTATGGCGGATGGAAAAATGGGGCTTCATTCCAGTGAGAAGATGACGGAGAAGCACATTATGGAGGGGATGGATAACTGCGTAGTGAGAGGAGGGAGGTCCAAAGGAGGACAAATCGGGGGGGGGGAGATGGAAAAACGGTAGAAAAGAGAATGGAGAGGGAATGGAGACGGTAGAATAAGAGGATAAAAGGCGAGCAGGATGGAGATCAAGGTGATGATGGTAATCGGAACGAAAAGAGAAGGGGAAGGAGGGATGGAAGGTTGCTACCGTCTTCCTCCGAACATAACGCACCCTAAAAGTGGATGTATACAAGCTATATTTCCGGGCAGATACAGCGAAAATGATGGTGCGTTGTGTTCGGGGGAAGACGGTAGGGGGAAAGGAAGACTAGGGCGGAGAAGAGGAAGAAGAGGATCAAGGAGGGTACGGTCAAGTACGTGGGATGGTAACGGGGCAACGAAGTGAAGGGCCAGAATTCTGAAGGGTGTGAAGAGCAGGAAGGAAATGGAGGGGAGATAAATGAAACGGAGAGGATGGAGAAAGGGGGGCAGTGGGGTACTACTACGATACCATTGCAGGCTTGGGAGTTCTTGCTGCGAAAGACATTCACCTTAAGTTTGTGGACGTTGATGACGATTTGCGCGTGCCAGAGTTCAAGTGCATCACAACATTGCCCAGGACCTGGAGTAACCAATTGGAGTTGCTGACATGCGCAAGCTTCTGCGACTTGACTACCCTTTGCCTAGTCGTTAGCATTCATCCAGCGTGATTTCGTACCGTTGTCGTCCTATTAAACTAGGAAAACTGCCTGTCAGCAGGGTCTTGTGTGTGGCCTGCACAAACAAGGCGAGAACTTTGACAGACGCTGTCGTTTTTGCGACCCATCATAATAAGTAGTTTACATCTCATGCAAGGTTGCCTCTGACTTGTGAAGTGTAATGATCGGGGGAAGGGGATGTCCGATTTCATATGAATCACATGAGTCTCTGATGGGGACCAAAAGTTTGGAGGTCGAGACTTACATGGGGCCATCATTGTTATATTTGTGGCTCGAATGGGACGATCTGATTTGTTCTGCCCTCGGGAGACGGTCATTGTAGGAAATAGTTTATGCCCCTGAACCTCATGTGTATGGAAATGAGCTTTATACGACCCGCGCCGCGTCTGCCGATCGTGTTTGACTGTATCTGCCTCTAGGAATGTCTGGGGCCTTTAGGAATGTCTATAGCCCTTTAGGAATAGTCTGATCTAATTGCTCGAACAATTGCCCGGCCGTTCTCTTAGGAAGGGGGATCTATACCTGGTCATGGAATTTCTGTAGGGTTGACATACTGTTATTTGCCGTGCTGCTTCGCAGGCAGTGGTTTTGGTTTTAGCCGAACGAACGACCAGGTGGCCGACCGGTCTGAGGGGAAGTCCTCCGCAAGGCCAGTCGATCTGCGCGTTAGAACAATCTGCGTGAGGCGACGACCAGCTTTTTTTGCCGGCAGCTTACTAGTCGATTCTGCCTGCAGGGAACCATCCGAGCCAGCCGGCTGTACGGCGAGGCAGACTGTCCTTACTGTCTGAAGGCATGGCAGTTATCTCCGTATGTGGACCAGAGTTTGCCCTAAATACAGCCATAACAACCGTGTCTTCTAAGTGAAGGCGGTGTGGCCAGGCACTCGACTCAACTCTGCATCCCGCTCCTGCAGCTATGCCGGCAAGCCAGCCATCGCTCCCAAGCTGTGTCCTGCGGAGCCGTCATATAGCGGACTGGTCGTCTGTTTGAACTCGCAACTTATATTCGGCCACCGAGACTAGCAGCAGACAAGACCAACACAGTCGAGGGCTCGAATACTCAATCCTTTGTACCTCTGCCAAAATGACCGGCGAGGGGTGAATGCCTTCGTTGCAGTCATACACGGGAAAAAGCTTCACGGAGAACTATCAACAGCGGGTGCTTGACTGCATGTGAAAATGAGACTCTTGAAAAGAAATTTCTGAGGCGACAACTGGGAGTGCCAGAGACAGCTGGGACTGTGGGGTGAGAACTGGGATTTTGTGGCCATAGATGAGACTGTGAGGCCATACACGGGACCGCGAAGCCATAGCTGGGACTGGGACGGTGAGGCCACAACTGGGGCGGGGCCGTGAGGTCATAACTTGTGCGGGGCCGTGATGCCATAATTTCGGCGGGGATGTGAAGCCATAATTTAGGCGGGGCGGTGAGGACAGAGCTGGGCTGTGCGGTGAGGCCGTAACCGATGCGGCGATATCATAGCGTAGCTGGTGTGGCGATGCTGTAGCAGCAGGGGCTGTGAGGGCTTAACTTGGGCGTTGGGTTCATAACTGGGGAGTGTTCATAACTGGGGAGTGGGGGCTGTAACTGGAACGACGAGGCTGTAAGTGGAACGACGAGGACTGCGGGACCATAAATTGGACTGAGGCTGTGACGCCTTTACTTGGAGAGGGCCCAACCGGTCGAGGAGGCCGTAATAACTAGACCTACGAGGATTGTGAGAGCGTAAATTGGGCTATGAGGCTGTGAGGCTGTGAGGCCTTAATTTGGGCGTTGAGGCCGTAACTGGGGGTGAAGCAGGTTTCCGTGCTCCCCGGTAGTCCGTAGGATTTTACGGAGATACTTGTTTGCTGTATGGGCTTAGTTCTCTTGGCTTTGTGTGTTGTTGGAGCTCCGCTTTCAACCTTTATTAGGATCTGAAAGAGCTGCAATCTTTATTAGGAGCTGCGCTTGTAATCTTTATTAGGAGCTGCGCTTGTAATCTTTATCAGGAGCTGCGCTTTCAATCTTTATAGGAGCCGCACTTTCAAATTTCTTTATTGTTGGAGCTGCGATTTCAATCTTAATTGAGAGAATGAATGCTGGTCTCCTTACTGTCAACGGCGTCTTTCTTTGGTGTCTTGGCTGTCATTTGTTTGTTTTCTCAGGTATGAATCAGTTCAAGTGTATTTTCTTGGGGACAGTTGACCCGAAGAGCCCCCTTGCTCACCTGAAGAGAGCCTGTGACACGCAGAAGTGCATCCGCGCTGGAGGGAAGCACAATGACTTAGATGACGTCGGGAAGGACACCTACCACCACACGTTCTTCGAGATGCTTGGCAACTGGTCCTTCGGAGATTATTTTAAGGAGGAAGCAATCTCATGGGCGTGGGAGCTTCTGACCGAGGTACCTTCCTAGCTCCTTTTCCTCTCGCTCTGTCACGTTAACTCAACCCCCTGTCTCTTCTCTCTTTGTGTGTGTGTGTGTGCGTGTGTTTGTGTGTGTGTGTGTGTGTGTGTGTGTGTGTGTATGTGTGTGTGTGTATGTGTGTGTGTGTGTTGGAGCTAGGTAGGGTGTGTTGTTGACAAAGGGGTGCGCGGGATTTGCTGCGGTGAGCCTAGTGGCTTGAGTTTCCCTTAAGAAAAAAGGGAGAAGTCGGCTTGAGCTCTTGTCCTCGATTAGCTGCCTCTGATCTTTCGATAATTGCAAGTTATGTATGTGTTTATTGAGTACGACAACATCAACAACAACATCAATGCGGTGCATGATTTCTGGCGGTGCCCTCCGTGATTACTAACCACTTCCAGTCTGCCGCCCTTGGCGCATCTGTTCAAACACTTCAATGATTTCATATACAGGGTCCGCGGGCTGCCATAGTTTTTTTCTCTTGGACAGAGACACCGTACAGGGGGAGTAGAAAATGTGTCCTTTCAATTTATCGACAAACAGCACTGGGATGCGGCAGTGAAAAAAACATGAATCCTAAGGATAGCATTCTGTGGAGGGAACAGTGAGTGAAGAGAGACGGTTAACGGAGGCCTCAATTTTCAGAGCACTTGTCAGGCCATTTATAACAAAACCCGAGGGCCATTTTAACGGAACTTGCCACCAATTCATAGAGTGGAGATCATACGAACTACTTACCAAAAAAAAATGATAAAAAAACTTAAAACCTATAAAACAGCAAGGCAAAAGTGTGTTTTCATGCAAAATTCACTCTTTTCAGTTTTCAGGATTTCCAGGATGTTTCAGGGCTAGCCAAAACAGTGAACTTCAAGATCCCAACAAACACCAAACTTGGCAGACACAGACCTTGACCAAAAATAAAACAGGGCAAAAAAAAAAACCGAAAAAAAAATATAAAATCATCTCCAATGCACTTTTCAGGGTTGAGGGGGTTAACCAGGGCTGAAAAGTGGGGGTCCCTGTTAACCGCTTATGGAGAGAATGAGTAAACTGACTGCGAAGAATGGGTACAAAAGGATGGTAGTCCCACACGAGGGTGTGGTCACATGACTGCACTACTCCAGTCAATGTGCGCGGGGTGGCCAGATTAGTGTACATCTTCACTCTTATCTGTGGACCTCGCCGCATGACTCGTCAAATGTGGGAGATGGAGAATGTCTCCCTCGAGAATGTGGAAAGATGCACCACATAGTTTCTGTCTGCTTCACATTTTTGGATGAGTGGTGCGCCGAGGCCCAATGTGGTGGGGTGGTCCGATCGGTAGTGTGCATCTTCACGTTATCTGTGGGCTTCGACGCATTACTCATCTGAAGAATGTGGAGAATGGGGAGAACGTGTGTCACTAGGGAATGTGGAAAAATACAGAGTCTCTGTATGGTTCACATTTGGTGAGTGTTACTCCGAGGCACTATGAATAGAGCGGGCTGCAGCAGCGGACTGAGCGTGCGTGAACTTCTACTACCTAGAAGTGAGCGATGGGATCTCGGATTCCATGCAGTGCGATGCCTGGTGGGAGCAGTGTGGATGGATGGAAGAATATCCGAATGAGTACGGAGGGTGTAATTAGATACGTAAGTACAAATATATACATATATCCTCCGACGACCAGGAGCTGAAATCGCTGTGTTGAGGGAGATATTTCTACCCTGTCTATAAGATGTAGATGTTCACTACGGGTCTGCAGCTGCTGGTAGTTCTGGCTGGTGGCTTGGACTCCTATGGTTCCACTGTCTATGGCTATATCTCCAGACCGCCCCTGGACAAAGTATGTTGCTCGGTCTACATGGCACCCAGTGGACTTGAACTTGTGATCTCGACCTCCGTCTACAATTTCGGCACTCTGTTGAATTGAGTGAGCTACCCCACGCCGCCGCCTCCACAATTTCGGTCCACAATTTCGTGTGCAACACCCATGACACTTGAGCAAGAACGGTAATTATGGTCATCTTGTGCAAAACGAGACTGAATCCTGCGCTAGAACATGGAAAGATACATTGCTATAATTTTTGTTTTTTGTCTTTTGTGCATGTCGAGGGTAGTGGAGCGAGACCCTATTTCTGTTGATGAAGCCCTGTTATTGTTATTATGTTTAAGAGCTGCAATAGCGTTGGCAAAGGTATCTAAGCAAGTCTCATCGATTGATGACGATAACATGTTTCGGAAATGTTGCTAAAAAAAATTCTCTGAAGGTGTTCCGTGGACTGTTGATGCCTTCAACGCACGCCCATGTGTGTCCCTGGGCTTGGTGAGTCATTACTGTATATCGTTTGGCCGCAAATACGCCGGTTCCTGATGTACCTGGCCTCATTTACGTACAGCGATCAGCCGCAAACGTTCTTGATCGAGACCCCCATGAGTCGTCCTGCGCTTAGGGATGTAATGGTCTATTTTTGCCGACCGTGGACACAACATGAACAAGAGTTTATGGCGCTTTTTCTGGATCTAATTGTTGGGGATCCCGGGCTTCGTTCCCATGTCTAATGTGACACAAAATTTCAAGCTTTCGAGGGAAAAAACTACCGTCTTCCCCTGAACACAACGCACCCTCATTTTGGCTGTATCTGGACGGAAATATAGCTTGCATACATTCATTTTCAGGGTGCGTTATGTTCGGGGGAAGACGGTAGATCTTTGGTTAGCTTTGAGGTGCTTCGTGAGCAGGCGGTCGCTCGTTATTCCCGGTGACATCCTCACTCTCGAGTCAAGCAGACTGGTTGGGTACACTACTCTCAGGCAATTGCCAGGGCTCGTGGAATGTATCTAGTCATGCAGACTGGGTGGGTACACTACTCTCAGGCAATTGCCAGGGATCGTGGAATGTATCTCACCAGGCAGTTTACCAGTACACCACACCGCAGAGAGACTTATTCAAAGGGATTAGTAGAGGAGGGGTTTTGGACTGTCTTCCTGGTTGGGCCCGGTGCCTCTTGTGATGTCGCTCCCTTGGTACAGCTGCACATTGATGTTGCGTGTGTCTTTAAGTGTTTGTGATGAGCCCATCCAGCTTTACGATTAAATTTGTTGTGGAGTTTTTGTTTTTTTTGTTTTTTATTGGTGCCTGTCCAGGACTTGGTTAGTGGAGATTGTTGGGATTTTACGCAATAGCCTTCGGTTTCACTTGTAGGATTCCATCTGGACTCGAATACAGAGCCGCACGTGAATAACGTGATGGCATACCAATTGAGATACGCCCAATCCTTGCAGTGGGCTTTCATGGTTGTGAGGGCGTCGTTTTTTGGATTTGCATTATTTCCTTCTGTGCAAGGTCTCCTGCTTTTTTTCTTTTGTGCAGTGGCTCTTTTTTTCGATTTTGCGTTATTTCCTTTTGTGGAAGGTCTCCTGCTTTATTTTTTTTCTTCTCTGGAAGGTCTTCCGTACCATTTTCCCCGAACAAGAACGCACAGTCATTGTACCTGTATTTAGATACCTGTTGCCAGTCTATAAATGGACTGCTTGCCAGTGTATAGATACACCGAATTGCCAGTCTATAGACGCACCGGTTGCCAGTCCATAGATACACAGATGAACGGGGATCTGTTAGGGGGAACACGGTAGTCAATCCCCTGAATGCCTGCAGCTGGCGGTTTGGGAATCTCTGCTTTTGCCGGTTGAATTGATCTCTGCGGTGCTCTGAAGGCGTTTGTTTTGGTGTATGCTATTATGTCACTCTGACAGGTGTACGGTCTTCCTAAGGATCGCATTTATGCGACCTACTTCGGAGGCGACAAGAAGCTGAACCTTGGAGCAGATGATGAAGCTAGAACTATCTGGTTAAAGTATCTCCCTGAGGAAAGAGTCCTGCCCTTTGGATGTAAGGTGAGCTATCTGAAATCTTTTGTACCATGAACTTATCTTAGGACCGCCTTTCTTTTGTTACGCTGGTGCTTTTTTTTTTCTTTTTCTTGTTGTCTTTTTCTGCCTTTGCGCTCCGATTTCCAGTGTGACAATATTTATATACAGAGAGAGAGAGAGAGAGAGAGAGAGAGGGGGACGAAGGGAGGGAGGGACTCTGGGTCTAGTTTGATCGTCATTATCATTCATCAGTAATCACGCTTAGCAGGGAATGATTTGTGTATGTGAATGCTCTTTTTATAACAGATGACATATGAATGATATTTTAAATGGACATATGAATGATGTTTTAAATAGACGAGATATGGATGATGTTTGAAATAGACGAGAATCGTGTCTTAATACTCCTGTTTCATTCAACTTTGTATGATTTGTTTATGTGAATGCTTTTTTTTTAATAGACGACATATGAATGATGTTTTAAATGGACGACATATGAATGATGTTTTAAATTGACGAGATATGAATGATGTTACAAATCGACGAGAATCGTGTCTTAATTCCTGTTTCATTCAACTTTGTAGGCATTACGGATGCTGAATTTAATTGTGAAATGAGAAGAATTTAAATTTGATTTTGCAAAGACGTGGCGGTGCACTCCGAAATTCAGCCATTTCACGGGCATAACACTTTTAGCAGGAGTTTGAGAACATGATGGGGACCACATTTTGAGCTGTGAGTAGTGGTCGGTCCGGTGGTGGTTCGTAGCGCTCTATTAATGAAAATCCATGGTGTGATGGGAGGGCTTTCTTTGCGCTAAAGGTTGTGGAAATGGCTGTATTCATTTCTTCGGTCAATCTGGGATGTTGCAGCTCTAATTTTGTTTTGAGATCATGGTAGTTCTCCGTTTGTGTAGGAGTTTTGTTGTTGATGCAGTGCTCTGGGCAATTTCATTTTTCAAAATTTGTTCTCGGCAGATGTGAATTAGAGTTGATGATGATATGCCATTCTTGTCATGTGTTGGTCGTTCTTGCATTCCAGGACAATTTTTGGGAAATGGGCGACCAGGGTCCGTGCGGCCCTTGCACTGAAATACACTACGATAGAATTGGCGGCCGCGATGCCTCATCATTTGTCAATGCTGATGACCCAACGGTTATTGAAATATGGAACAACGTGTTCATTCAGGTCAGTAACTTAACCTCTGACGGGTTCGTCACACAGAGAGAGAGAGAGAGAGAGAGAGAGGGAGGATGTCCGTATGTGAAACGTGGAATGTTGTGGACCTGGGTGCACATGGAAATAAGGTCGTCTTTGAGGGATTCCTCTCAGAGTGATCCACTGAGTGTATGGGCGCTGATTTTGATGATTTTGATGTAATGTGGCTTCTTATCTGAACGGTGGTAAATTCGGACCATTTTTGTTGGCGTGCTCGGATACTAAACTGCTGTTAGCGGGGACCTTTTTGCTGCCAGGTGTCTTCCAATGAGAGGTCTCAATTCACCGCTCTCCAGATTAGGAGAGCAGTCAATTTGATTCTCTTCTACCGAAAGGAATATCGTGGTCCTCTTTGTTTGCCGGAAAGAACGCGGAGGTTCCATCTTTTGGACGTATGCTTCGACTATTTCGATGTTTATTGTTGATTGTGACAGTGATCCATCTGTTGCATGCATGTTAGACGTTGATGGGTTATGGGATTTTCCGTGTTCTTGCAAATGTAAGTTGGTATCTGGTACGTGCGGAGTAGAAAGCAAAAAGAAATGCATGTGGAGTTGTGTGATCTTTTGGGAGTGGTATATATATGCATGGAAGCCCTCGTGGGTACCTGAGCATCTTAGCAGATGTCAACTTTTATCACTTTGAACGACAGAAATGGAAGTGTGTTCGTTTTTTCCGTCGGAAGTGCGGGGTTTTGTTGAACTTCCACATTAAACCAACTTAAAAAAAATCTTGTGTGTTTTCGAACCTGTAGGTAGAAAATTAAGAGGAGAAAACTTCACAAAAAATTGTTTCTTTAGCTCCAAAAGTTCTTTAAACTCTCTTTGATTCCAATTTATTATTTATTTCCGGATTTTGAGTTTTAATTAATTGAGAAGAAAATATGGTTGGACAACAAAAATCAATATTATTGAAAGACTTAAAAACTTCTGCATTGCCCATAATTTTTCTAGCAAAAGGGAGTTTGGAAGACTTAAAAAGTTCTGCATAGCAAATAATTTTCTAGAGAAAGGGAGTTTGTGAGTTGGAAACTTTTCACACTAGAACAGCATGAGTTTGTGAGTTGGAAGCTTTTCACACTAGAACAGCATGCATGATTCATTGAAAAGGGCAGTTTTGTGATTGGATCTTTGAGAGGTGGGCAATGTATGTGCGAGGAGTCTTTTGGAGGTTTGAAGCATTTGTCGAGATGAACTTGGCGAGGTGATGGATGCATTCTCTCTCTTTCTGTTGTGTGTGCTGCGCCCCAGTTCGTCCGGTTGTGCGTTTTGATTTTATGCCAATGCATATTCTGCAACTCGCATTGCAGTTCAATCGCGAGGCTGAYGGATCGTTGAAGCTTCTRCCAAAGAAMCATGTCGACACTGGACTGGGCTTCGAGCGCCTGACGTCAGTCCTGCAGAACAAGATGAGCAACTACGATACCGACGTCTTCGAGCCCATGTTCAATGCCATCCAGCAGGTGATTGCAATGTCCGAAATCCTTCCGTCATTGATGCTCTCGTTTCGAGTGATAGTTGTGCAGTTCTGCCTGCAATCTGTGCTTGATTCATGTGTGGGTTCCCCACTCTCCATATCTGAGCAGGCAGATCGTGAATTCCTCATCTCTCGTTGTTCTCCAGTTCGGCGGCTTGGAAGTGGAGGTGGGTGCGGGCTTTTGGTTGTGCAGTGCAGTGGACTTTTCCGCCACATTTTGATTTTTTCAGTGGTTAAGATTTAAAATATAGGTCGTCAGTTTCTGCTTGCTGTTAGCAATCATATCATCAAGGAACTTCGTTGGGTAAAGTTGAATTATAGGTCGTCAGTTTCTGCTTGTGGTTAGCAATCATATCATCAAGGAAGTTCGTTGGGTAAAGTTGAATTGCTGTCTTTGTGAATTCTAGATTGTGGAATTGCTTCGGCCTTTCTTTTCGTTGGCTTTTTTTTTTTTTTTTTTTGGTGCGGGCGTAGGCATGCATGTCTGTTTGTTTTATTGGGTAAACGGGAAACCACCAATGCACCTGAGCGTGTTTCGTCACCCTCCCCCCACCCCCCACCACCCCCCCCCCAAAAAAAAATGGGGGTGCGTTGTGTTCGGGGCAAGACGGTAACCTGCTCAGCCTGAAACGTCACTCGTACCGGGTAACACCGAATTTGATGGGAGTATGCATTCGGTTTTGTGCGAATAGTTTCTGATTGTTGAAACCGGTTTTGTTTATTTTYGGATTTTCGTGTTTCACTTTATGTAGTGGAAGGCAACCTACATCCGTGATTTGTTTTTCTTTTTCATATTTTTTTTTAACACTGGAAATTAGGAAGAAAAATTGGCAAACTGGGGTACTAGAATTTTTGCACTCTGAGAGTACCCCTCTTAGTTTGGGTAGGCCGTGCCCGTCATTTTGCAGTGTGTATACGGCTGCGAGTTTTGGACCGGGGGGGTGTGCACTGGTGGTTTAGACTCCATTATCTCTGTTTAGCTGGAGGTAGTGATTAGCATATATCTATAATTCTACACTCGTTTGATGGTGGATGCCTTGGGTTGTGTTTTGCTCTGGGATGGCCTTTTCTTTTGTGATCTGGCATGGTGATGGTGAAAGAAAGTTGAAAAAGAATATAGACCATCCCAGAAAAGAACATGGCAATTGCAGTGCAGTTTTAACTTTTAACTGGTCCCTGTCTATTGCTGGTATGTGCACAGGTCACAGGTGCTCGTCCGTACGAGGGGAAGTTGGGTGATGAAGACGTTGGCAATGTTGATATGGCATATCGAGTGGTTGCCGATCACATACGGACTCTGTCCTTCGCAATTGCAGATGGATCACGACCAGGTGAGATTTAGTCATTTTGCTTGCACTTGTATTGCCCCTCCATTCCTCTAAGTTGTTTTGTGGAGTACGGTGAAGTAGACGAACAGTGAAAGAGGAAGGCTGTGTCTGTGTAATGGAATTGTTAGCTAACTGATTTGCTTGTAGTTGTGATCTTCCTTTCTTCCTTTTGCTTACAATTGTATACAGTACGGTGGAAATAGTAGCTTCTGATTATTAGGGGTGATATATGCTCTTGCTCACTGCTTACTGTGTGTGTGTGGATGGATGCAGGGGTGTCTGCGAATGTGATTCGTCGTCTGTGAGTATGAGAACGGCAAAGAGTGATTGATTGGATTGTTGTGACTGGTGTGTTTTGACATTCAGGTAATCTGGGCAGAGAATATGTTCTTCGAAGAATTTTGAGAAGAGCAGTTCGATATGGGAGGGAAGTGCTCAAAGCTCCGGAAGGGTTCTTCAGCAGGTATGTAACTATCTAATGTGGTCCCGCTTTGGGGGACTGAAGGGAGTGCTCCCGTGTCAGATTCTATCCAGACAGCTTTTTCTGTGCCTGAGGTTATAACTGGAAAGTTTTGGCACTTGCATTTTGGATGGAATGCTATTCCTAGCATTTGGGTCACGTCAGTCTCGGCTGAATGATGCAAGTGCCATCGCTAGTAGTCGTGTTGACTCGTCTGGGAAGTGGATGGTGCTATTTAACCAGTTTTGGTGAGCCGCTGTGACCAGAGGGATCTGAATGTGGCAGTTGATGTCTATGTAAGGGTCCCAGGCTCTTGAGACAGTTACTGTGAAATGATATTTCCCTTGGGAGATGTGATTTCCCTCCTTGGCTCCTGGCATGATGCGGAGGGATTTCGTATGTTGGGTCGCTGAGGGTGTCGGTAGCATTCCTGAACACTGGTTGCTTTGTGGGAAGGGCATCATGGTCGGATGAGAGACTGCCTTCGTCCCCCGAATACAACGTATGGTCTGACCGTACGTTGTATTCGGGGGAAGAAGGTAGGGGTTTTGTTAGAGTAATCATCTGTAGATGTTTTGGAGCTCAGTTAGGTTCGAGTGAAAACTGAAAGAAACACGGAGCTAGGGTGTATAGTACTTTACATGATTTTTGTTTTCTGTAATCGGTCTGGCGTCTGAAGGGGCTTATGGAGTTGCACTGCGTTATCTTTTGGCGTTTTGTTTCCGTCTCTCCCCCCATCCCCCCAGCCTGGTGCCCACTGTTGTGGAAACCATGGGTGAAATTTTCCCAGAATTGGTGAAGCAGGAGTCCAAGATCAAGAGTATTATTGCCGAAGAAGAGTCAAGCTTTGGAAGGACTCTTTTGAAGGTCAGTTTCTCGGTTCACTTTTCTTAATCGATTTGTCTTCTCTCTTGTCATCATGGAGGTCGACGTGACGGTAGGGTGAATGCAGTTGATTTGGAGTTGCTGTTGTTTATCCTGCATTGGCAGAGTGAGGGCTGATTTCGTATATTCTACGTCTGTGAAGATTTCTCTTTCCAAATTGGCAGGCGTCTCAGGCTTTTAGTGGATATGCGTTTTCCTTGGTGTGCTGATGGGCAATTTTGTTTTCTCTGTGAAGAGGAAGCTGACCTTGGAGTTTAGAGTTGCAGGGTTGTCGTAAAGAGTTCAGTTTCTGTCGAGGGAGCATGCGTCTGCTTGTTCTTTTGGAGTTTGCTAGTCTATCTCCAATGTTTTGTGTATTCCATTGTTTGGCTGCGGGCTGAGGCTGGTGGTTGGGGGCGTACCACACGCGATTTAAGAGAGAACGAAGAAGAAGAGCGTTGTGGAAATACTAACGTTGATGATTGATTTTTTTGCTGCTCGTCAAAACAGGGTATTGACAGATTCAACAAGGCAGTGAAGGAGGTCAAGGATGGGAAATTAAGTGGTCAGGTAGGCAGTTGCAGTTGTCTTATCACCCTCGAAGGTCAGGTAGGCAGTTGCAGTTGTCTTATCACCCTCGAAGAATCGTTCTCCAACACTACTCTCTTCAGTATTGCTTCTACGTATCTTTTGATTGTAATCCACAGGATGGCTCTGTTCCATGCAAGGTCTAGAAAGTGAGATAAGACCTTGTAAGGAGAAGCAAGTGTTCTTGGAAAGTTTGGATTTTGATAGAAGTAAACATCACCACAAATGAAAACCACTTTGGAAGTTATTAATATATATTATGTCAAGGAATATATGTCAGGTGGATGAAGGTCAGCGGTTTGAAGATGGGTGAAGACTGAACCAGGCTGGATTGATTTCAATTAATATTGGAAATGCATTTGCGATGCGTGGTTGTTGGGGTACCGTTATTAGTGAGGGCTCCACGGTGCGCAGACAAATTATGCAAATTTTTGAGTGACAGATTGGTGCGATGTGGGTGGCTCTCTCTCAGGGGGGTTCGGCCTGGAATGGGTTAGGTTGAAGGCAGTCTGTTCTGCAATCCACCCTTGATCCTGTGGGTGGGTCTTGGGCGGTCTGTGAATGCAACCGTGTGCCGGGGGGCTGAAATCCCAGCCTCAGGAAGGCATTTTACCATGGAAGGCAATTGATCTGATCCATGTATGGTGTGCATACCCTCATATGGCTCGAACCCCACTTAGCCTTGAAATGTCAACGGACTTGTCATAACTAAATATGACGTGTTGAGATGGCAAAGATAATGGAGCTTCTGGAGCATCTTTTTTTTGGGTAGCTTTTGGTTTGAACATTTCCGTTGTACTCCATATTATACGATGTTTGCGGTTTTTGCCGGTTGAATTGATCTCTGCGGTGCTCTGAAGGCGTTTGATCTGATCCTGTGGTTGAAACAACACACCAATGTTAGTATGTGGCTTGGCTCTGGGTCAGGACTCAGTGATGTGCTTCCCTACATCACGTATTCTTTGCCTCTGTCGGACTTGTGATCTCTCCTTAGTGCAATGTTGAACTCGTGATCTTTTCTTAGTACGGTGTTTTTGCGGTTTTTGCCGCTAAGGACTTGAGCGTGAACATTGCAATCATTCAGCATTGCAGAATCATTCATGAAATTGGGGAAAATCAATGGTAAATATGGGGGGGCATGAATTGCGAAGAATTTGACAGACATCGTTGTGTTGTCTCTGTCACTTTGCAGGATGCGTTTGTGCTGTGGGATACTTTTGGCTTCCCCGTAGATTTGACCCAGGTAAGGTCCAGTGCAATTTTTTGGGTCCGTTCGGTTGGAAGTGAAAGTCAAACGCAAGCAGGCCTACCAGGAATCAGATGGGAAAAAATATGTTGTGAATTTCACCACTGTCTACGGTTGGATGTGAAAACCGAATGCTCCAAAATCGAATGCAAGTATGCCTACGAGTAACCAGGTGGAAATAATATGTTGCTAGTCCCACCACTGTCCAGTAATTCAGTGGTCACAGGTTACCTACCTACCAGTTTATGGCATCGTGTGGCACTTTTGGGAAGCATTTGAAGGTGAGACCGCCAGGAGGCGGCAATATGGAGGCCTGTGAGGTAAATTTGCCTGGTAAACTAAGACTGTCAGAACTGCCTCGGTTCTATTTGTATGCCTTTTCCCATTGCCTGATGGTGCTGACTGGCTGTGTATTGTTGTGCAGCTTATGGCAGAAGAGAGGGGCTTGACTGTCGACGTGGTAGGATATGAGAAGGCAATGGAAGAGTCCAGAGAAATGTCGAGGACTGCCAGGGGTAAGGTATGGACTCCTGTCCGGTCAACATTGGGTGTTGAACCTGGAATCTGATACAAAAGCTATTTCATAGAAGAAATCAATGCATGGTGGGTGCTTCTCTCTATGAACAGTGAACTTGTGAAATTGTGGATGAAATCCACGAATTCGTTTTTAAGGGAACTAAGATATGGTTCTCTTTTTAACCACCAGTACATGACCCCAGGCAACTGGAGGCCTTGCAGTTGCCTTTCCGAAATTTAGGAGACCGAGCACCGTAGATAAAATGATTCGGCGGCTCGCGGCCTCGGAAAGGAGCCCGTGGCTAATTTGCCAGGGATGTTAGTATCGACAATGTGTACGTGAGCTATTTGCAAAGAAGTGATGCTAATTCGAAGATAAGTGATGCTAGGATGTCGAGTTCTTCTGAAAGTGGATGGAACCATCTGATCAACCAGATTTGAGATACACTGATCCTTTTTCAAATATAAGAACTATTCTAAGTGCTACTGTCTCAACCTCTGCTGCCGATGGTGTTTTTTTTCTGTTTGATGCTTTTTTAAAGATGACAAGTATTCTGCATGGTACTGTTTCTGCCTCTGCTGCATTCTGAATTGGTAAAAGGTACTGTTTCTACCTCTACTGCTACCGGTAGTGGTGCTTCCATGTTTGCGGAATAGCTCAAGGCTGAATTGTAAAATTGATTCTGGGATTGATGTCCCCATAGATGATTGATTCTGGGTGTCCCTATATGTCAGAAAGTTGGAAAATTGTCGTAGCACTGGAGCGTACCACCTTTAGGTAACTGTATACTTGGATGGTATATTTACAAGCCACTGTCTAATTACGACCTGCGGATGATCTGCTCTATCAGGTTGGCGGCAACTCCCTCGCTATGGAGGCAGAAGCGACCTCACAGTTGCAAAAGATGGGTGTGGTGCCGACTGACGACAATCCCAAATACATCTGGTATAAGGTATGTACTATGAATGTGGCCTATATGTACTATAAATGCTTGTGTGTGGGCGTACCAAATATTGCTTCCCCTGTGTTAATTGGCCTCTCCCTGATGTGTGCCTAGGGGTACAGTGAATCGAAGCTGTCGATGATCTTTTCTGTACTCTGCTAAGAATGTATAAAAAATTAAAAATCATTAAAAAAATTGTCTTGATCAGCCAGGGTAGGTGAATCGTTTAGTACCCTTGATTGTTTTGTCGAGGCACTTTTGGTGCATTGGTGTGTGTTTAGCGCATGATTGTAATGAAGTGTGAAGTGCTTTCTTAGTTCTGAGACTTCTGACTAGTTTTGTTATGCTTGGCAAGTCTATTAGAGTCACTGGCAACCCTCTGTATGTGGGTTGTGCAGCGCTTAAGATTGCCCAGATGATCATTGGACTGGGGAGTTGTGGTCTTGGCTCTTTTGATGGTGTATGACCTCTGAATCTCCTGACAACTCTTTGTAATTGGTCCCTTTGCGGACCATAATGTAAGTACACTGCGGGCTGCACAATGGCTGTGCATGTTATTGTGTCATAGGTTGAGATGAATTGCGATTTTGTTTTTCGTGTTTACGTTTTTTTTTGTGTGTGTGGGTTAACGGATTGGCGGTGGAATCTGCTGCATTGCATTTCCCTACCAGATAAAAATTTGTGGAGAGCAATGGCAAATCTATTAGAGTCACTGGCAGTCCAGCTCTGTGGGCTGTGCAGCGCTTAAGATTGCCTAAATTGATGGGACGTTGGGAATGTTCCTCAACTCCACCCCATCTGATGGAGGTTGTGCTCCCTCCATCGTCTTTACATTTTTGTTTTTGTGTGTGGGTTGATGGGTTGGCGGTGGAATCTGCTGCATTGCACTTACCTACCACATAAAGATTTCTGAAGGACAATGGCAAATCTATTAGAGTCACTAGCAGTCCAGCTGTGTGGGCTGTGCAGCGCTTAAGATTGCCTAAATTGATGGGACGTTGGGAATGTTCCTTAACTCCACCCCATCTGATGGAGGTTGTGCTCCCTCCATCGTCTTTACATTTTTGTTTTTGTGTGTGGGTCAATGGGTTGGCGGTGGATTCTGCTGCATTGCACTTTCCTACCAGATAAAGATTTCTGAAGGACAATGGCAAATCTATTAGAGTCACTGGCAGTCCAGCTCTGTGGGCTGTGCAGCGCTTAAGATTGCCTAAATCGATGGGACGTTGGAAATGTTCCTCAACTCCACGCCATGTGATGGAGTTTGTGGTCCCTCCATCCCTCACAATATTTCTTATTGTCATGTCGATTATCACTTGCAACGTTTGCTATTGTCGTGTCAGTGATCTGAGTACAGCGAGGTTTGGCAATTGGGAATGTACGTGTTTGCTCTCATGCAGTAAGGATCCCTTCACTCCTACAGTTCAATGAACACTTGGCACGCACTGTATCTTTGGCATGCAATTGTGAATATATGTGTTTGCTCTCAACACAGTAAAGATCCTCCTTGTACTCCTAGAATTCACTGAACTCTTGGCATGCACTGGCACTTCCATATTGGAATTCCTGAATGCGTAGTTTAGGTTTACAATTGCTACATCTCTGTTGCCCATGTATGGTTCTCTGTCTTGGCAATCCTACTAGAGTCACTGGCACTCCTCACCCTATGGATTGCAGAGCGCTGAAGGTTGCCGAAATTAATCTGTTATGGGCTGTTTTGGACCGTACACCTCTTGTGTTTGTGAGATTGTATGTTTCTATGCCCGCACATGTATACAGCTATGAAGGAGAAGTTTTAAACCCCCTAGTGTAAATATCCATACGTTCCAGAGAAGTGTTATCTTTCTTGTGCTTAGTTCAAGCTGACAAGGTCATATACCTTTCTTGTGCTTGTGACAGTTTATTGTGGGTAACGTGCACTCCAGTCGCCCATCCTGAACCCCCTTCTGAAGTGAACACGACGTGTGTGTGACATCCTGATTGCTAATACTTTGGCTACCACAACGCTAACCTCCGTAATCGTCGAAGTTAAGATTCCTAATCAGGTGTCACAGCATGGCAACGACAATGCTGCCGTCCTTCTCGGCTACTGGATGGGCAAGCCGCCCGCTCCATCTACTAGTTTGTGTGGGGTAATTGAATGGTAATCCCAAATTGCAACAGTTCCCTTCCACTGTGCTGTTGAATGCTGAGGGTTGCCTAGACTAAGTTGGTGCAACGGGTGCCTTCGAACCATATGTCTCTTTCACCATCGTGAGCTCATATGTTTGCAAGGGCCTCTCATTCGCTTTTGGACGTTGTGAGATGAAAACTCGGGTGTGGAAACAAGGCTCAACAAATAGGCAGATCTAATGTCTTTTTTCCGCGTCTAGGATGTCCATTAATTAACTGGACGGATAATAGCCTGCCTTCCCCAGGCGGTTAGGCCCTCCATATAAATAATAATATAACCATTTCGACTTGGTTATTGGATGGCAATTCCAAGCTACACAACAGTTCTGTTGCTGTGCGGTGTCGACTTTTTGGGAGTCGCCGAGACTAAGTTGCTTCGACGGGTGCCTTCGAACCGTACGCCTCTTTGGCCATCATGAGCTCGTATGTTTGCAAGGGCCTCTCATTCTCTTTTGCGAATCGCATCGATGAAAACTCTTTTGGAGTGGAAACGAGGATGGAAAACTCTGCAGATCTGTAAGATGTCCATTAACTAATTGGGTGGACAATAGCTTGCCTTCGCCAGGCGGTTAGGCCTTCGAGTTGGTTATTGGATGGCAATTCCCTACACAACAGTTCTGTTGCCGTGTGCTGTTGACTGCTTGGGGTTGCCTAGACTAAGTTGCTTCGACGGGTGCCTTCGAACCGTACGTCTCTTTGACCATCACGAGCGCGTATGTTTGCAAGGGCCTCTCATTCTCTTTTGTGAATCGCATCGATTAAAACTCTTGTGGGGTGGAAAGCAGCGGGTATCTTGCGCTGCCGGGTTCAACCTCCCACAACTGTTTCTCTGATGTACTCTAAATTCAGTCTATGTAAGGGATGCTGGACCGTTTTCCAGCAGGTGATTCTCCCCACCAATAGATGGAGCCTCTCCCCAGGTGCTACTGGTGTCTGCTCTTATCAGCATCACTAACACTGGATCGGAAGTCCTTTTTGCAGCCTCGAGGATGTCCATCCATACATTTGGCTTATATATAGCCTGCCTCCCCGACTTCTCTAGCTTTTGGCTGTACCCTGGGTACCTAACCATTTCATTTGGGTACTGGATGGCAATCCCCGTTGCGACAGTTCTGTTGCTGTGTGCTGTTGAGTGCTTGAGGGTTGCCGAGACTAAGTTCTACAACGGGTGCCTTCGAACCGTATGCCTCTTTGATCGTCGTGAGCTCGTATGTTTGCAAGGGCCTCTCATTCTCGTTTGCAAAAAACGCCGATCCCAGAAATGTAACTGATTCCAGGGATTCTATTTTGCAAAGCGCAAAGCCACGAATGTGTCGTGGAGCCTTCTTGTTACGACTCCAGCAATCTGTTTGGTGCAGGTAAAAACGAATTTCGATCAGAGTCGTTGGTCGTAGGCACTCCAGCATTGTGTAGCCTAAATACATGCAATCTTAATAACTTGGCATAGTGGTAGGCAATTTCGAACATCGATGTAGATGACGGTCTTCCCCTGAATACTGTATTTGTAGTGCAAGGAGGTTGTGTACATGCATGATTGGTGTGTGATGTCCATATTTTATTTCCAGCTTGGACGGTAAGCTGATTAGAATCACTGGCAGGTGGTTCTCTGTGGACTGTTCAGCAATGTGGGTTAGGTTGACCCGTTGCTGACTGTGTGGAAATCATGGGCGCAGATGGTTTGAGTCTCTTCTCTTCGTAGCCCCAACGCTACTTAACCTGCAGATGTTGTTGGTGTGGTTGAGGATAGAAAATGGCATGCTGATTGGAGTCGGAGGCTGTCTGGTTTTGATGGGTTTATTGTTCTTGACGTATCGCAGATTGCGGTGGCCGATGGCCTGAGGAGGTAGCGGGCTCCCGCTTGTGGCTAGGTCAGTGCTGTCTATGTTTTAATAGGAAGTGAGCGCTTCTTGCGGACTGCGTTTAGGAACCAACTGCGGGTTGATGGCATATGTTGGGTAGCAGCATGTTTCGGGTGTTCTGAATGTTAAGCTAATTAAAGTTGGTTGCTGCTGACATTTTCAATTTGCTGTTGTGTGCTTTAGGTTACTGACAGGTGGTTGATCCACTCCAAATTTCGCCCAGGATGATTTGAGTTGATTGTCTTTCCAACTGGAACATGGTTTGCTGAAGTGCTAAATGATATCCATTTTATCCATTTCCAGTTGTGGTGAAATTTGAATTCAATGATGACCAGAGTTGTGTTACATGTGGCTGATGTTCTGAATGGTAAGCTAATTAGAGTCGCTGGCAGTTGACGTTTCAATGGGCTGTTGAGTGCTACAACTTACCTACACTAGGTTGATCGATTGCGGATTGTGTAGAACTGATGACCCAGGATGATATCCGTGTCTATCGTCTTTGCAACCCGAACATCATGTGCTATAGCATATCATTTTCAGCTCGCAATAGGCCGCCTCAAGGGGTGCACAAATTATCTAAACGTGTGCTACATGTGGCTGCTGTTGTTAATGGTAAGCTATTTAGAGTCGCTGGCAGTCGCCATTTCCAATGGGGTGTTGAGTGCTACAGCTTACCTAGACCAGGTTGATCCGTTGCGGATTGTGTAGAATTGATGCTCCAGCCCGGTCTGAGTTCTATCATCCTCCCAGCTCGTGATTGGCTGTCTCTAGGCCTCTACCTACTCTGGGTTGATCCATTTTCAGGTTTTGTAGAATTGGCGAGTTACCGAGGATGGTCGAGTCAATTGTCTTTGCTATTGAATTAGGAATTGATTATTTTTTCCGATAGGCTGTGTCCGGGCTTGCACAGCCTATCTAACAGGCGCTACATGTGGTCGGTGTTCTGAATGGCAAGCTCATTAGAGTCGCTGGAAGTTGACGTTTTCAATGGGCTGTCGAGTGCTACGGCTTACCTACACTAGGTTGATCCATTGCAGAGTGTGTGGAACTTATGACCCAGGATTGTAGTCTGAGTCTATCGTCTTCACAACCTGAACATTGTTTGGTATTAGTGTATCATTTTCCAGCTCGTGGTGCCAGTTTGTGGGTTCTGAATGGTGAGCTAATTAGAGGCACCAATTGCCTTCACAATGAAGTAATGAATTGCGAGTTGTTTTGGATAGGCTGTTTCTGGGCTTGCACAGCCTATCTAACAGGCGCTACATGTGGCTCGTGTTCTGAATGGTAAGCTCATTAGAGTCGCTGACAGTTGACATTCTCAATGGGCTGTCGAGTGCTACAGCTTACCTACACTAGGTTGATCCATTGCAGAGTGTGAAGAACTGATGACCCAGGATTGTAGTCTGAGTCTATCGTCTTCACAATCTGAACATTGTTTTGTACAGCATCTCATTTTCCAGCTTGTGGTGCCAGTTTGTGGGTTCTGAATGGTGAGCTAATTAGAGTCGCTGGCAGTGGATATTTTTAATGGGCTGTTCAGTGCTGCAGCTTACCTATAGGAGGTTGATCCATTGCGGATTGTGTAGAACTGATGACCCAGGATTGTAGTCTGAGTCTATTGTCTTCGCAACCCGAACATTGTTTTGGTATAGCAAAAAAAAAAAAGAAAAAAAGGAGGTTGATCCATTGCGGATTGTGTAGGATTGTCTGAGTCTATCGTCTTCGATTGTCTGAGTCTATCGTCTTCACAACCTGAGCATTGTTTGGTATAGCATATCATTTTCCAGCTCGTGGTGCCATTTTGTGGGTTGGGAATGGTGAGCTAATTAGAGTCGCTGGCAGTGGACATTTTCAATGGGCTGTTCAGTGCTGCAGCTTACCTATAGGAGGTTCATCCATTGCGGATTGAGTAGAACTGATGACCCAGGATGGTCTCTGAGTCTATCGTCTTCGCAACCCGAACATTGTTTGGCATAGCTTATCATTTTTTTTGTGTTGGCAGTTTGCGGACTGGATGTAGCTCCGTTCGACATGTGGATGAGCACGGGAGTTGCTATGGAAAGTACAAAAACTGTCGGTACTTGTTTATCTGTTTCAGATTATGCAGCTTCGAAGAGCCAATGCCATTTCACTTTGGATCTGCTGAAGGAGGTTGTCTTGGTGGATGTGAGTATATTAATGTTAGCCTTGATGTGCAAGAGGGGCTATTCGACTGAGGGAGCTTCATAATATGTAGTTGCGATCATGTTTCCGTCCGATTGTGCCTGTGTGTGTGTGTGTGGATTTGTCCAGTGGTTTACATCCATTATGGCGCAGCATCGTTTTTTTTAGCGTGGAGAGGTTTGACCGCTGAGGCCTGTGTGTGTGGAATGCTCCAGCGGATTACATTTGTTATCTCGAAAACGGGAGAATGTTTATGTCATGAGCTACCTGCATAGCAGTCCATCGTCCTGTGTGTTTCCGAGTTGTTTTCGAACTTTTTGAGCGTAGGTGCCTGACTAAACATAGTGTTGGCCAGGGATTTTGTCATATTGTTAATTCTGGCGTGTTGTTCTACGTGCAGGGTCACGAGACCAAGGTCAAGGCAATATTTTCAAGTGAAGGTTTTGTGAAGAACACCGCAGATATCTCTTCAGGAGAGGATGTAGGGCTCATCCTTGAGAGCACGAGCTTTTATCCGGAGCAGGGCGGACAGGTACATTCATAGCCCCAATTGTTCGCCTGGACAAGCACGCCGTGTGTGTTGTTTAGATGACGAGATTGCCGGTCGTGTAGATAATATTATGCGGAAGATTGGCAGCAACTTTTAAACGGTGACAACTTGACAGGCAATTAGAGGAAGATGACGTGGAATTCACTCTTGGTCTAGTGCTGTATTTAATTGCAAATAAAAAAACATGCTTTCTGTGATGAGGGGCTGGTACGTGCACCACAGCTGTGTGATGCAGACCTACCCCGTGGGATGGGGAGAGATCCAGGTTGGTTGGTGTTCCCTCGTACTATATGAGTAGCGGGAGGAGTGAGATAGATGAGGAAAAATATAGAGAGAGAGATTGAGAGAAGAATATAGATTAGCCTTCCCAATTTTTCTCTTAAAGAAAATAGCCGGTCTCGAGGGACCATCCCGCTGGAGACCTCGCTGCCAGTGTTGGGAAAGACCGCTGTGGAAAGCGGCAGGGACTGGGCCGGGCCCAACGTGACATGCAGTGGCTGAAAAAAAGAAAAGGCTTGGTGCTGCCTAGCCGTGAGGAGGACCGAACTGTCCCTGATGTTGGCGATGTTTTTTTTCGCTTTTCCTCTCATGGTCTTGCGGCCGCCACGGTGAGCATCCCCTTGTTGTTTCTAAAATAAAAAAATATATGTTTCTTGAGATGATTAACACCAGTTGAACTGAACTGATATCAGCTGGTACTTAGCTTAGCGCAATGAGATTGGTTGGCAGTTCTTTCTAGCAGCCCGTTCTGTGTCTTTGTCAATGTATGGTTGCAATTCTGTTGTTGCGTTGAAGAAACCGGAGAGGAGAAATGTGATCGGTTCGATTTCTGACCTGCTTGCCACTCTTTCTACGTTGTCTGTGTTTTGTGTGCAGATTTACGACACTGGTTCCATCATCTCTAGCTCTGGCGCTGTGTTTGATGTTACAAATGCTCAGGTGTACGGAGGTTATGTGCTACACGCAGGGACTGTTAAGAATGGAGAGGGCATCGCAGTGGATGATTCAGTGACTTGCGAGGTACACGACTCAGGGGAAGCTTAGGTCAATCTAGATCTGCAGGAATGCAGGACGCCTCGAGAAAACAAGGATTTGCTTGATTCTTATTTTTGTCAATTCTCTTTAGCATCAGGTGCGGCTGTCATGCAGGGGTGGGTTGGATATTACGACCGGCACGAATCCAGTTTTGAACACCGTGTCATGGCTGTAGTGGTTAAGAGACTCGGCTCTTGAGGCTGAGGGTGCCGGTTCGAATCCGTGCGTGCACGGAGGAGGTTCCATGGATGATAAAAGTACAGACTGTCTTGAAATGATGTTGTTGTGAAACACCATGAGGAAAGTTCCAAATGGTGGAAGGTGTGATCTTTTTTGTTGTTTTGTTTTTTTATAAGTTGGTATAAGGTTTCCGTTGTGCGAAGGAGTGATCTATTTAAGTTTTGGTCAGTGTTTGAATGAATTATGTGTGTGCAGATATGACAGGTGCCTTTACAAATGGAAGATTTTGAGTGCCGTAGTTTTTGGTTTGTGGTGTAGTGCGAATGCTATAGGGTCGTTGACATGTGTACGTCTCTTTTAGATGGAGTTTTTATTTAAATTCGTCATCTTTGTTTAAATGGTGCGGGCTGCAATCATCTGTTCGTCGATGCTCTACACGTAGCGTAGTGTCATGTATGTCTCTTACTGGATTGAGTATGTTATGCGTTGACTTTCTCTCTCAGGTGGACTACGACCGGAGACGGCTGATAGCTCCCAACCACACCTGCACTCACCTCCTGAACTTTGCGCTCAAGGTGTGTACCCATGACTTGTTTTTTCCTTCTTTTGTATGTCTGTTTTCTTTCTCTTTTTCCTTTCTTTCCTCTTTTTCTCTCCTTTGCCAAAAGGGCGACGTCCTTGAGATATCATCATCGAACTGACCAGCCCTAGGGAATTCAGGTATGTGGGGTTTCACTCATCTGCTTCCAGTGAAGTTTGAACTCGGTCGGGTCTGTTTGTGAACAGTTCAGGGTCGTACCTACCAACTGAGCTAAGGTCGGTTGGTCACAGTTGGTAGTACCCATCCCATGGCTATTATTGTACGGTTGAAGGGTGGTTGAAGTGTCATATGAGCATGTCGAGGAATGGAAGGCATTGAAAGCAACTCGGAATAAAAAAGAAAGAAGGTATTTCTTTCCCCAATGCAACCCACTTGAAACTCTGGAAACTGCCTTGGCTGTCGAAACTGCCTTGGGTGCTCAACACTGTCGGTCCTATTTTGGGAAGGAGGAGGGGTACAGACCTGTAATTCTGAGGGACTACAGGCCCTAAACTAACCGAATTCCTACTACTACCCTAACTGCTTATAGCAGGCCCGGGCTACCCCTAGGACAGACAGGCCCTAAGTGGCCTAAACTGGTATACGGTCCTATAGCCTATAGCCGGGTCCGGTAGAGGCCGAGAGGCCGAAGCAGCTGCGGTACCGGTAGGTCCAGTCAGTCCGGTTTAGGTCTAGGCTAGAGTGTAGAGTCTATAAGTGCTGGAAGAACATCGGTTCGGGACTTTTGGGTTTTCATTTTCTCGCGTGCAGCGTTCGTGGCCAACCAAGTTGTGCAGTGCTGAATGCCTACAGCGGCACCTGAGACATCAGCGCAGTGGAGCAGCCATAGCCAGCCTTCTGAAACAGCCATAGCTGGGGCTGTACTCAGCGCATCTATCCCCTGGGGATATCTGCGCTGGCAGGACTATATCGGAGGTCTTCACTGAGTACATGTGGGTACTAGTGCTGCGGTAGTAGCTGCCTTCTTCATCGTCAGAGTGACTCATCGGCACTGGAGACTACTTAGCTGTTCATAATCTGCATCTGGGTGTATGGCGCTGGCCTCTGGGAGGCTGCTTCTGTGCAGCGCTAGACTCTGAGAGTGTGGTAGTGAGTGGAGTGTGTGGTTCTTGAGTGGCGAGACACTGGGTTGAACTCTGTGACGATAATTGAGGTTAACTGTGTTGAGTTGGCTCATCATCTGGGTTACTTTCCGATTGTGATCTTCGCAGTGTCAATTTGTGATTGGTTGTTGGGAGTTATAAGAGAGAGAGAACACTGTGTGTATTCTCCCCATCTGTGTGTATTCTCCCCATACATGCATGTGTGTTCTTCCGCTGTTTATCTCTGGTCTGTGTGCAGGTGGACTCTGTCTCTTCCTCCCCTGTGTCTCATGCATGTATGGGTGTGTGTGAGTTCTTCTGTGTGTGAGTGGCAATCAAATTGTCAAACAACCAAGTTCATAACACTTTTGACATTTTACTCGCTAAGCTTTGGGTCGAGTTACGAATCCAAAAACGACGAAGCATCCAGGAGAGGAGATACAGAAGGGGGTTCCAAGGAGGACACTTTCCCGAGTTTCAAGGAGGACAGGCAAGTCACTTGGTTAGCCCTCAGCCAAACAAAATTGCGAATCTAACCCTACGGTTAGTATACAGCCTCGCAGACAATTCGGCAGCAGAAATCAGCAAGTCATTGCAAAAGCCTCTCACGTAGAGGAATGTTGATCATTGCTGATCTAAGCAGAGTCAAGCAGATGGTGATGTTTTATCTGAGTTTTGCGTGATAAGTACTAGAGAGGTATTTGTTGTCATCATAAATTCCAAAGTGGCGAAGTGGTAGAGACTTTGTAACGGGAGTCGTCGTCTCCCGTGGGGGAGGTGTGTTGGGCTCTGCTCCCGTTTGGCGATCTCTTGTGATTGTCGATGAAGGTGAAAGGATGGCATCTCATTTGTCAGAGCTACATCAAGCTGCCATGCTGCATGTTGACGACTCTGATAATGCGACGAAGGCATGACCTGTGACTAAGTGGAAATATTTGTGGTGTTTTTGATTCTGCAGGCTGTCTTGGGTGACCATGTTGACCAGAAAGGCTCCCTTGTTGCCCCTGATAGATTGCGATTTGACTTCTCGCATGGTGAGCCAACATTTGCACGGATCTGTAACGCCTCTGATGTGGGATGGATGCACTTGTCAGTCGTACTTCGTAGAATCTCTTTTCTTGTCGCTTATGTTCAGAACCATCATCTCTCCTTTGCGGGAGACTTGATCCCTTGTAGTTTAAAAAAAAAAAGTGGATATCAGCTTCACTCTGTACATGTTCCGTGTTTTTTTTTTTTTTTTTTCGGTCACCATTTGCATGTATCAGTATCACCTCTGATGTGGGACGGATTTGCTTGGCAATCGTTGTACTTGGTAGAAGGTTTCTTGTCTTGTCGCTTACGTTGTGAACTATCCTCTCTCGTTTGTGGAAGATTGTTTTTAGTCAAAAGAGGACATCATTTGCATTCTGTACATCGATTGCTTTTAGTCAAAAGAGGACATCATTTGCATTCTGTACATCGTTCCCCCCCCAGCCCCTTGTGTAACTCGATACCTTCATCCCAACAGTTTGTAGAGAGAATTCTGTGTCTCAGGCAAGAGATTGTTGTGTTCGAGGGTTGTATTGTTATTTGGAAGGAATGTCATGTCAAAGCATGTCATTAAAAGAAAATTTGACCAAGTGCGGCGTACTACCTTTGAGAAATGATTTTTTGCGGACTTGAAATTATTCTCAATTCTCAGAATAATTTGTTGGGTGTAAATTGATAGGATTTTAAAGTCAATTACTTAATTAAGACGAGGTAAGAATTCCAGATGTATTGCCTAGGGTGGTGTGGAAGTGTCTTGGAGGAAAAGTGGATGGAAGGTATATGTGGGATGTGTGCTTGGGTACAGGATTGAAAGTGTAATGTGCTTGCTGAAGTGAGTAGAGGGTGGGAGTAAACGATTCTGCCAGGGTACCAGCGGGGCCTCCCGGGTCACCCTGTTTTGCCGGGCGGCCCATTCGCCATGCAAGAACCAGGGAAGGTCTCTGCGAAAAAGAAAAAAAAAACGAGAAAAAGTAGGCTATGCAGAAAAATAAACTGAACAGCTTTTGCCTCAGGGTCACGTAGAAATTCTTTTACGAAATTTAAAATAAAGAAATCAATTTAAGAAGTATTATTTTTTATTTTTTACTTTTTATTTTGCCTGGGCAGGCAAAAGTGGTCCTGGGCCATTCTGGTAGCCAGAAATTCTGACAATTCTGAATCACTTGATGTCTGCAGGGAAGCCGATTGATGCGAAAACACTCAGGGCAATAGAAGGCATTGTCGTTAAACAAATAGAGGAGCAGCTTCCTGTCTATGCAAAAGAGGCAAGCCTCGCTGAAGCCAAGCGCGTTGTTGGTCTTCGAGCGGTCTTTGGAGAGGTAGGACACTCCTCAGTAGTACTGCAGTTATGTTGAAACAACAATGCACCTCGGTCTTGTTCTTTTTTTTTTATAACCAAGTTGAATCATTTAAATAATAAATCAATCCTGGCAGCATTAACCAATTTTGCAAAGAATAAAGACGTAACGACTTGCAAGGTTTGAGGGTAGGGCATAGAAATGAGTGGCTAGGTTCGTTTGCCGCGGGGAGGTTCTGTGAGAAGTTCATTTGAAACACCAAAAAAAGACTCGATGACTTGCCCTCTGCCCTCTCAGCTTAAACCACCAGTACTTCCTAGAGCCGTGCCCATTAACGCGCCATGATTTTACGAAACGTACGGGCTACTACAGGAGACCCCGAATTCATCCGACTAGAAAGTTTTTTATGCGGCCGATAGCTGGGCGATGTACTGGTGGTTTAAACCACCTGTACACCTGTGCCTGCAGGCACCTTACTGTGCGCTAGGCTTTTCCGGAGTGCAAGTAGTGGCATGTGCCGTCCGGCCGAGCATCCGAAATTTTTGTAGGTGAAGAAGTTTAAACCCCCTAGCCAGAGTATTATTTCTTGCAACCCTCCGCTAGGGGTTCCCTTTCAGTCTTGTTCTCTCATAATCAAACCACTCCATTTCCCGCCTTTAGAAAGTTGGGGGACCAATAGGCCGTTTTTTGGAACAGGCATGTGGCCTACCGGTGGGTCAGTGTGGCCGTGGACTTGAACTGGCAAAAAATGAAAATTGGTCAGTGTTGGGCTGGTCGATTATTTGATGGGCAAAATGTTTTTTTTTTTTTTTAAGTTTCTGATTTTTTTTCCTGGGAAGATCAGGAGCCAATCTACAGACCCTAAAATTTTTAGAATTTTCTGTGAATTCTTCTGGGCACGAAAAATCACCAAAGTTGCCGTACTTTTTTCTGTTTGCCACATATCGTAGAGTGGGAAAAAATGGAAATGCACCGAATTGCTGCTTCAATTATTTGAAGGGCAATTCCTATTTTTCCTCAGAAGATCAGGACGCAATCTAGGATGCTCAAATTTTTACAATTTTCTTGGACTTCTTCTGGGCACGAGAAATCACCAGTTCTTCTGTAGAGTAGCAAAAATGGGATGCGCCGAATCATTGCGGGGATTATTGCACAGGCAAAATAAATGTTTTAGAAATTTCTGTTAATTCTTTTGAGCACGAAAAGTTGTCAAATGTGCCGCTCTGAAATTGTGGGACTAGGCCTGCCGGTTGGCCCTGGTCGCGCCTTAACTCACTGAGAAGGCACTTTCCAGGAGGTGGGTACTGGGGTGGTTTAAGAGTCCAACAAACATTATTGGAAATTGCGTATCGGTGGTGTTTACTTGGTCCCTGGCAATATGAGCAGTGTCGGGCTGATCTCTGACGTTGTTGCATGGCTTGCATTGCCTGTCAGGTTTATCCAGATCCTGTGAGAGTAGTGTCGGTTGGAACTCCAGTCGACGAGCTTCTGTCTGACCCGGAAAATAGGGACTGGGAAAAAGTTTCAGTTGAATTCTGCGGAGGTCAGTCTACTTCCTTTGTTACCCTTACCTGTTTTGTGTTTGTTTGTTTGTTTAAGGTCGCTGTGTCAGATATAATCTTGTATAGACGAACCAGGCCTTTCCAGATAAAGGATGGCACTGTGTTCGTTGGTGTAAGGTTGCTGTATTAGATATATAGTGTGGCACCGTCTTAAGCGTTTTGGAAATCCCTTAAGCCACCAGTACTTGGCCAATACATCGGCGGCGGGCGTTTCCCGTTTCCCGTTAACGCGCCAACGCGCCGCGACTGATGGGCTTCGGCCTACCGGACCGCAATGGCTGGAGGCGCCAGCCAACGGCGGTTTGGCAAAACGAGGCGCGCAGCGCATATTCAGCCTCGGGATCAATAGCTGGACCAAGTACCGGTGGTTTAACAGTAGTTTTCATCAGATTGAAGTTTCTATTACACGTCCTGGAAATTACGTCCGTGAGTATGTGTTGGCTGGATGGACATCAAGTGCTTGATCTCTTATATTTACTTGTTTGTTGCTGCCAGCTGGATTGCACCGCTTCCTATTAATCCAGAGCTGAACTTTCTGCATGCATGGGCATTTCGATATTCAGTCTTACCTTCTGATGTTTTTGTTAGTCAAGTCAAATCTGACAGTCTCTGGGTCATACAGGTCTGACAGCCTCTGAGTCATACAGACTGAGAGGAACTCGAGAAGGAGAAGGCTTCCTGCTGCTCAGGGATCCCTAGGAAGCATGAAAGCGTCATTCATGTACCCGTCCTTTTAAGTTTGCTCGTGGAAACGGGAATCGGACCTTGCTTGTGGAAAAGGAATTGGACTTTTAACTCGATCGCGGAAAAGGAAGCGGACTGATGCACCCGAGAATGAACAGCAAGCCAGAGTGATCAGGTTCTGTTATCGTAAACAAGCAAGAAAAAAACATTATAAAAAATCGCTCTGTGCTTGTTTTGTTGTGGGCTTTGCTTGTATTCGGCATGTGGGTTTTATCGACCTCGTTCTCATTGGATGCTCGAATGTTTTGTTATTTCTTTTGGACTCCGTGGCTCAGGTACGCATCTGTCCAATACCAAAGAGGCAGATTACTTCGCCCTCTTGTCAGAGGAGGGGATTGCGAAAGGCGTCCGACGCATTATCGCACTGACAATGTCTGCAGCAAGGGAGGCAATCGAGCTTGCAGATAAGCTCGGGGAGCGCGTTCATGCAGCTGGAAAGCTGAAAGGAGCTGAGTTGGAGAAGGTTGGTATGCGTTCGTTTATGCTCTCACCCACGCGGTCGACTTCTCTTCTGCGCTGTGCTGGTTGGTCGGCGGAGTTGGACACAGACTGCACAAGTTTTGCTCATAGGTGGACTGCCCAAGTTTTATTGATAGGCAGACATGTTGTTTTGGTAACTCACTGCTATTCCTCTCTTCAAATTGGTTTGGACACGTTCTAATTTTCATCATGAGCTTCTGTACGTGTCCCCTCTTGACTTTTGACCATTCGGGTTTTTGCCTTCCTGAATCTGTTTGTGCAGGAAGTTGCAGCACTGAAGAGTGTTGTCGATCCCGCTCCAATTCCTGCAGCAAGGAAAGCAGATCTCAAAGCGAAAATTGCTGTGTTACAGGTAAGCCAGTTGCCGAAGTGAACTCGAAAATTCAAAATTCCATGTACAAGGAGTTTTTGTTCGTTATTTTCTTCTTTCTTTAAGGGGACGGCCTTGAGATATCATTATCAGACTGACCGGGCTTTTAGGTGATTGGTTCGTTCTGTGCTGCTTGTAATGAGTTATCACAGTTGGTGATATAAAGTCGGTGCACTCTTTTCAAACGCGAACCCTCGGCATGTTTGTTGACCACATACACGTTAGCGGCCCACCAAAATGCTCGAAGGCATCTTTTTTCTGATGCTCAGAGAAAATTTTGCCCACCCCTGAGGTATTGTGGGGTGAGGGACTACTTGGGGCTCGTAGCGCTTTCGGTGCCCTGCTGCAAACCTGACCGCAGTCACCTAGAAGCCCTGTAAAAGGTCAGTGGTCACTGTATAGTAGTATTGGGAGCATCATCTTGCTAGTCAGCGCAAATGCCATCACTGCGCATGTAAGACAATTCTGAGCAAAAATCTATAGAGGTAGAATCAAGTGACACTAGGTTTCTGTTTTTTTTTTTGTTTAATTGAGTTGTAACTTGTAAGGGACTGCTGCGTCTGTTCTATAAACTGACTTTGGTCATGCGGATTTTTGAAGTGGTCAATACGATTACGGAAAACAAAAGAGCAAGTGATTGAAGAAAGTAGTGATTGTTAATGTGTCCTTTTTCATCGCTGCCCATTTGCAGGAGCAATTGCGTGAAGCTCATAAGGCAGCAGCTGGGTTGAATCTGAGAACTGCAATCAAAGCCGCGGTGGACGAAGCAGAAGCAGCAGCAGCGAAGGGTGAATCAGTCTGTGTGCTACGACTTGATGTCGGTTTGGATACGAATGCTGTGCGTGAGGCTGTCACAACAGTCCTTGGAAAAAGCAAGGTGCGTAAGGACACTCCATTCTTTACTGGACCATCTGCTACCTGGTTTCTGTAAATGCTAACTCCAGATCATGTTGAGGTGTGCAAATCTATGAAAGGGTAATTGGTATTATGGTTTTATTGTGGATGTGTTTTTGAGGTCTTTGTGCTAAACGTGTATACTACCAAAAAACCAAGGTGGGTAAGAGATCCACTGCGTGTGGGTCCTCGAGAGTATGTAGTGGTGTGCAAATCTATACTGTGCAAGTCAAGCCGTACGTTAATGGCCCTCACTTCACCATCCATCATGACATGCACAAAAAGACAGGAACTATGGTGGTGTATCTTCTCATGCTCAGGCGGAAGATTCATTCTCATGTTGCACATTTGTTGAGCAACGGTGCAGGGCCCAATGTGGATGATGGCACGTGATCGTGATGGAGGGTCTATATAGCCTGAAAGCTTATCACTCGGAGCGTCAGGTACAGCACTTCGTATTTGCGAGGTGCCACGTTATTAAGAAAAATCCGTCGAAGAAATTAAAAAAAATGATATTACAGACTGCTTGGTGAGAATGAAAGCAAATCCGAATTCCATGGCCATGCTTACATATGCAACTAATGTTGTGATTGCGGCTCAGAATCTCATGGCCGTGCTTACATATGGAGCAAATGATGCAATTGTGGCTCAAAAAGCAGGGGGGGTATTGCTCCAGTAATGACTTCTCGTTGTGGAGGGGAGGAAATTTGAACAGAAGCATGTGGACGATCAATATTGCGCTTGTGGGTGAGGCAGTGCAAGTGCCGATGAATGTTTTTTGAGTGTTTGCCATAAGCTCAGGGCTGGGTTTGGGTCTGGGTTTGGTTTGGGTCTTGACTTGCTGGTTGTGAATGCAGCCGAAGAGAGATTTATAACTTCGTCTGTGTGTCGGGGTTTGAACTCTGAGGGCAAGGTCGCGAATGCGTGTCCGTTGCTAGTTGAAGAGATTTTTAAGTGTGTAGGGGTCTGAATTCTAGAGGGTTGTGGGCTTGGGTGTGGGTTTGGTTTGGGTTTCGAGTTGCAGGTTCCGGATGCTTGTGTGTACGCCACCAGCTGAGGAGACTATTACTGTCTGTGTTGGGGTCTGAAGCTTAGAGTACAATGTTCTCAGGGTTTTTTGTGCAGGGTAGTTCAGAACGATGATCAGAATACGCTTTGCATTTTCACCAATGAAGCACGCCGCCATGTCTTCGATGTCTTTTTCAAATCAGACGTACAGTGTTTCAAATGTGTCATGTGTTTGACCGTTGAATATTGCAGTGTAGTTCGTGGATGTGTTTGTCCACTCACTTGCCAAAACTGATTTGATCTACTTGGGCCCTGAGATACAAAAGCAAATGGGATGCGGTACCCGGGCCGTAGTATGGCAGCACATCAGGGTCCTTACAGGTTTTCTTGCATGGCATCTGTGCTTCAACAGGATTTGGCCGTTATGATGTTGAGCGTTGACGAGGCAAAGAACAAGGTTCTCTTGTATGCTGGTGTCCCGGATACCGTCTCAAAAAGAGGACTCCAAGTGTTGGACTGGTTGAAAGCTGCGCTCAAGCCAGTTGATGGAAAAGGCGGAGGAGGAAAGGGAGGCCTTGCACAGGGACAGGTATTCCCCCCCCCCCCCCCCCCCCCCCAAAAGGAGTCGACTATTTCTTTATCTGTGTGCTTTGCGCAATCTCCTGTATGCCTTACTCTCTCTTTCTTTGTCTCTCTTTTGTTGGGTGTGTGGGAGCATATGGCCAGCGCCATTGTGATATGTCCTCTCCGCCTCCTCTCCCCCCCCCTTCCCCCAATCTTTCTTCTCTTCCTCCTTTTCTGTGTGTGTGTGTGTGTGTGTATCTTGCATGGGGGGAGGATATGGCGATGTGTGTCGTCTTTGGTGTATCTTGGGGGGGGGGGGGGAGGATATGACGATGTGCGTCATCTTTGGTGTCAATTAGATTGCCAATTAGATGGTTTTATGTGTGCCGTAGTTCTGAGTTTCTTGTTGTTAAGCCTTTTTGCTGCTCCAGCAATTCATATCTGCCAGCCTACCCGTAGTTGATTTCAATGAACTCATTGCATGCTCTGGTATTCTGAGGGCATTTTGGGTTGTGATTATTCCGTAGTGCAGTGCAGCTGCCTGAGGCCCTGAGCCGTACTAGTTAGTATGCGTTGCTCATTTGTTTGAAATTTGTTGTTGTTATGCAGGGTGGGAACGCGGCGGGAGCGGAGGAGGCATTGAATGTTGCGAGGCAATTTGCGGCTATGAAGCTTTGCTCATAGTTCTTGTCTGTATCTTCCAATGTGAACTGTTGAACTCTCATGTCCACCCTGTTAACCCCCACAGGTCCACATATTGTGTGCTTTCAAGAACATGCTTGTTTACATCCACAATGTGATTCCTACAGACTCTGGGATTTGTTGAACCGTTTGGGTTTTGAACTTTTCATCATTGATGACCTGCACGAGCTCAATTCCCGTTGTAAGTGTGGGATGTATGTTTTGCAGCGTCAGTTTGCTGGGGACCACATTGTCACGGTCAACTCTCTTTGCATAATGGGATATGCCTATTCATCAGTCTGCAATGTTCCCATAAGATATTTCACATTGGGGACCACAGTGTCACGCTTTGCTCCCAAGTTCACGTCGTCCATTTGTGAGCGATCCTTACATTCAGTACTCCTTCGCATGGAAGCAGGTTGCTGGGTACTGGTCCGTAGTCTTTTCCATGGAAACAGGTCGCATGCTTGCACATGCAGGTTGATTCTGCTGATGACGTTGAGAAGAGGATGTTGCCGAGCGTATCATTGTCATATTCAGGAGCACAGGGTAGTGCTGTTGGGCTGCATAAGACCAGTAGGACTTGGAGAGTTTGGGCTGAAGCTTTATGATCGTTGCTCGCTGGGCACCGAACGCAACACTTGAGAGTTTTGTTACGCTGGGCCAATTGATAATAGATTTGTACCTGTGTGTGTGGACAGGGAAAGCCAGTTCCCAATCGTGATGGTGTGGGAGAAGTTTTAGACGAGGTTCATCACAGAGGCTGTTGCAAAGTGTATCATCTGTTAGTCCAAAACCTTTTTCCGCCTATCAAATCGTTGTTGGGACTTGCATGAGTATTTTCTGTCGAGGGGCGGCGGTCGTGAATTGGATGTGGTTGTGCAATGGTTGAGATCCTGAATTTCTTGAAGTTGTCCTTTCTGATCCTAATTTGTCTGTGTCCAGATGCGGTCGTGGAAGGGACTCTAGGTACTGCACAAAATGTTTCCGCAGAAATCCAGAGGTACTTACCAGGACGAAACATTCCCCTTGCTATTCTTCGACACCCCCCGCATGGTTCTGAGTGTGAATCAGTGATGATCCAAATTTTCTTTTTACAGGTTTCCAGTTTTCAGCGATCAGATCCCCTCCCGCCCACGCAATCCCTACCGAGGAGATTTTGTTTTCCATGCAGAAGTCCAGGATACGAGTAATCGTCGAGGAGACAATTCCGACCGTCAAATGGAAGATGAAGTGGGGACCCGCCTCATTAGAAGTAGAGGCAAGAACACCCTTTCTCTTTTTCTCCTTCAATATTTCTTCCCTGCCAGGCCGCCTCCTATTCCTTTTCTTTCCCTTGTCACGGCATACTCGTCCAATCACAAACTTTTCCGAACTTAGCATATCCTCCTTTTCACGAGAAAATAACGGAATCACCACGTATTGCTCAACTTGACACCGTCTCAGGCAGGAATACATCCTATGGTTACGTTTCCCTCCCTCGATCACGTGAAGATTAGATGCACTGTAGACATGTTAATTCCACCTGACGGGAAGAGACCTAGTAGTTGATCCTACGTAAACATGTTGGCACCAAGGCGATACCAACACGTAAACAAGCGGTCCACCACACACCTCGAAGTCGTAGTCTTCAATCACCAACTTCAGTATATATTCCTTCAACTTTGCAGCCCATGGTATCTGATTTTGAAGAATAGGACGGAAATCCCTACGTAAACATGTCGACGTATTGCCCAGTAAGACGGAAAAAGGCATTATACGATGGATCGCGAAGAAAGAAAGAGGCTAATGGAGGGCCAGAACCAGAGATTTGAAGGTCAGAAGAGGAAGGGTTAAGAACATCTTGATCGGATAAAGATGACCCTGCAGTCATTCGCAAGCGAACAAAGCTTAATCGCGCTCGTGGAAACTCCCTATATCTCAGCCGATTGCTAATCTCCTTCTTCCGAATTACCTACCTCTCTCGATATCTCTGTTTCAACGTCCGATCTTTCTCCGATGCGTCTCCGAAAGCCTTATTTGCCCGTGCTTCTGCTAGTTCACAAATCGTTTCCTTGACGTTGCCGACTTTGACACCTCCCTTAATAAGCTCCAATCCTGATTTCCTAAGTAGCCTCAGCCGTTGTTTTCTGCTCTTCAGCATACTCAGCCTGATTATTGATTTCCACCGGTCCTCTACCACCAATGGAATTCACTCCCTTTCCCCAGAGTTGCCTTCGGTCCCTTCCTTGCAGATCGGACAGCCACCTCTTCCAATCGTTCTTTAAGATTTGTACCTCTAATTTCCTTCGCCTTTTCTCCGCTCGCCGTCCCACAGTTTGGCCAGCATCACTAGCACTGTAGGGACTGTTTAAGGAAAAAAAAAAAAAAAAAAAAAAAATGGAAA